ATCGTAGTGAGGTCACTTATTTGGGTGCACACAACTAATCGGAATCTATAAAAATCTGGGAACAATCTATATTCTCGTGCGTTATCAAGGGGCGTTTTTTCCCGGCGTTTCGTTTATATTCCATCGAGAACTGCGGTCAGACTTCCCCGGAGCACTGACGGATTAAGAAACGCGATCCGATCTCTCTCGGCGGGATGCGACATGGAAACGCGAATACTTATCTACGCGCGTTTCGCGCGGCGAAGATCAAAAGACGTTCGCGGCGTGCCGGCTGCTCTTCACATTTCTGACACGTTCGTTTCGAGGCGCGGCTAATGGACGCACACGTGACGTCTGTCTGTCCGTCTTACGCGCGATTAAGCTCTCGGTGCGTGCGTCGTAAATAATCGATATTAATTGCGTCGCTTTCCGCCTTGCTTTTCGCACCCCATTCAGGTTATCATTCGCCTGACACAAAAGCGAGAAAGTCATATTGCGCGAACACGTTTTTACACGTTCGTAGTCGACGATTCGCGATTTGCCTGGCGTGTTCGGAATAGAACTTTCGCAAGGAGAACTCGCGATCCAATTCGGTCGATCAGGCCGATTGCGCATGATCGAGGGGGAAGGATGACCAACTCTTGATCAGCCAATTATATCGATCATCGGGACTTTTAATAAAAGATAAATAAATTAGATAAACGTGATAAAAGTAACACTTCATTCATTATTACGTCAAGATCAAACAATCAACTAAATATAGTTTTTTATTGTGTTTTAATTTAAATAATTATTAGTTTATATGTAAAAACAAACTGATAAAATTCTTGAAATAAAATCAAAGAATAATTAATGGAATATTATTTTCTCTCTATATTATGTTTTAATATAAGTAATCATTACGTCTAAAATTTTTTAAATTATTTTTTAACTAGTCATTTCTTCAATCAATCGCTGACTATAAAAATTCAAAGTTTGAAATTATATTCTTTTTGACTTCACACATATCTTTGTTCTTCAGATCAGTGGAATCCTTCACAAGTAAATGAATAATTAACTTGTAGTTCCACTTTGATATTTTCTATAAGCTAAAAGGTGTTGTTCGTCATATGTCTTTAATGTTGTTCGTACACGACCCTTTTCATCTATTGGCAACGCTCGCAGTTTAAAAGGATTAATGAGAGTTTTAGTAAAATTTATTATATATTATTCGAAGAATCTCGAATGAGAGCCGAAAATCGGAACGGTTGGTCACTCTAGGAAACGCGTTGATTCTGGAACGGTCTGTTCTCGCGACCGTACGTAATGTGTACCGCATGTGATCCGCCATCGTGTACGCGCGCGTCCAGACATAATTACCGACCTGCTACACATTGCTTATTGTTCGCTTCTTTCTCGCTGGGGAATTCATCCACCCGCCGGGGGATTAACAGCGACTCTGATGCACGAGTTATTGTACTTTCACGGGCGTCAGCGCCGGGCGATTTTATTCGTCGCGTATACTCTCGCGAGGTAGCCGAGCGCATTTAACCCCCCGCGGTCTGGAATAATAATCTCGCGAGAAACTCTCGGTTCAACGTTCGACGCTTCATCGTCGCTTTAGCGCCCGACCGACGATAGCAAATTCGCTCTCGCTTGAATGATCTTTCAATATTTGAAAAACGTCATTTATGCGAGTTATCGTCGAAAATCTTCACCGATTATATCAAATTAAACAATTCGTTCGATAAACAAAATAAGAGCTTACGTTGATTAATGAGCTAATAATTTCTATATTAAAAATGACATTAAACAGAAGTAACATATCTTTCGACCAATTGCTGGATCTCTTCAGTGAAAATACAAATAGACACATTCAAACAGATCGCAGTATAGTACATATTATAATGTTACGAAGGCTAATGAGGACACGATGGTGGCAGAAAGTAGAATGTAGTGAAATACATTCTTCCAACAAACTTTTTAGTCAGGAGAGAATTACAAGGAATGGGGCCAATAAAAGAAAGAAGGAACAAATAAGTCAATAAAACGGTCTCACGAATAAAAGACATTTCCAAAGCTAATATAATCCATTTGTATAATCCATTTTCACCGGAGAGGACTAGCAATTTGATCCAACGAAACGTATATTATCTTTGTTTAGTGTAATTTTTGTATTATAAAGATTATCAGCCTATTTTACTTGGCGTTATTGGCCTATTACTTGATCATACAAAGTTGAATTCGCGAATCATTACGTAGAATTTATCACGATAAAAAGCTGTACTACAGCTAGTTATACGTACGTAATGCGATGCGGTAAAATAGAGGAAAAGACAATTTCTGTGTGTAAAATTATAAAATTCTTCTTATACTCCTACATGATTCATTATATAATAAAATATCAAACACAGTTACAGAACATTTGCGCAAAAACGAAAACAGCTAGCCGCAATACGGCTCTGTTAATTTTTCGTATTTCTACACTCTGTGTGCCCGCTTCCACTGTTAAACGGAATTTAATAACACGCAGAATTTTTTATATGCGCCGTAGTTATTCTGTTATAATTAAAACAGAGGTAATTAGCACTTGTCTCGAGAGCGTACGTACGGAGAAATTCGAGATAAGAGAACAAAGAGAGAGATTCGTGGAAAATGTATTTTTTTTTCATTTCTGACATACAAAAGTAACATCGCACTGAAAGAAATAGTCGATTTTAATGATAAAACCTTCGCTCGTAAAGTGGATTAAAAACGGAAAAAAATAATTTTATCATCGATAGCGATTTATCACATAACTCACAGAGTATGTTTCATACATAGACCTTCATATCCATATTACTTTCATATTTTTATTTCATGTTATAATATGAAATACAATCTTCGTTAATATTATTCTGCATTATTATTATTATTTCATCTTTTTTTTTATTTTCATTAGAGAGAGTGAGGCAAAACGTTAATAACAGTTAATGTAATGCTATTGCTGCCTTTTGGTCGTAATCTGCGTGACGGTGTAAGTTTGTCCAACATACGTATACGGAAAAAAATACTGTTGAATCAATAAATTTTCCAACGATAGCGTAATTAGAGTAAAAATCTTCCTGATTCGATGGCAAACGTCATTAAAATGTTATATGTTTCGATAATTAAAATATTAACATAACATCACTACTGAATCAAGAAGATTTATTTACTCCAATTACGCGTACCGTTGGAAATTCTATTACTTAGACAGTATTTTTTTCGTGTGATGTATGATCGAAGGCGACCACCGCGAACGACAGAAAGGGAATGACAGGCGCGGAAACGCTTGCGATGCACTTGCCCGATTGAAAAATCGGTAATTATGCACTATTGGCGCCTTATAAAGGAGACGGATAACAAGGGAGATCCTGCCCGGAGCATCGAAAATAACGAGAGCGAGGATTGATGTCCCGTTCCGTATGCTTGCGCGCGAGAAAATTATTACGAGGTGTCTGTATTAAAATAAACCGCCGGGGAAAAGAGAGAGATACCCTCTCGTTAAGATGACGAGTTATCGAAGGATCGTGTTTCGCGCGAGAATAGGCTCGTTCGTCCGGTCTTACTTGCCGAAGATTAATCCACGGTTGCAAAATGCATTACGGCTCGAATTGCACGCTATCGTTACGGACTTATCGCAGCGGCTTAATTCCTAGTTCTACGACTTAATAAGAACCTGCCGCTCTGGAACGAAATTATTTGTTCGTAGTACGCATCTTTCTGGCCTTTCGGGAAAAAGGAACTACGTGGAGAAAGAGCTGTAGTTAAAATTATCGCAAAATATTGAACCAAAATGATCCCGAGACGCTTTTAAGGATAGCCTGCGCCTACTTGGACGGTTTTTACTAATCTATAGACTAACAAAAACTTACTTTTTCTAATTTCGCTCTTTTAATTCTACAGATTAAATTTTAATATTACCATTTAATAATTTTCTTTGACGCTTCAACAGCGGAAACGGAAGACATTGTCATGGTGAAAAAGTAGGGATTATATTAGATTATTTGAATTGAAATTGAACCTATTTTGCTATCTTAGCATTTACTGTGTTATTAAAGGTTTAATGTACTTTCTTTTCAGGATGAGTGAAATTATAATCTTTAGTGACGTATATATCAAAAGTATAATTACAATACACGTAGTAATTTCGATAACAATTCCGTTATAATCTAGTATTTTATAATAATTTTAATATTTTCTATGTAGAAAGGCTTCTTTATCATTTTTCTATAATTTTTCATTTTTAATTTTAAAGTCCCGCTGTACCGGTACTTTAGTCATAAGAAAATTCATGCACTTCAGGATTAAGGATTAGCTACCGTAACGTTCCGCTTCTAATCGCCACTCTCTCGATGACCTTTATAAATTCATCAGTGCCACCTGAATGTTTTAACGATCCAGGTATCTCCCGTTCTGCAGGTATGCAGAACGGGAAGGCGCTTAATTATATCGTAACTCACTCGCGTGCAGCAAGTTACTCTCAGTGTATCTTCCGCGCTTCATATTTTGCACGCAGAAAGCGCGTTTTCAAGCGGTATTTTAGGCATGCTTCATCTTATTCAAATGTGGTGCTTTGATACCACACAAGATGATTGGAATGACGGAAAAGGGATGTGTTTCGGCATAAATATAAAAACATCTTAGATTATTATCGCTTCAATTCAACGTACTTTAAAATAATATCAAAGTGTAATACTTTTGTATTAATTTTGACATGATATTTGTGTTACTTCTCAACATATTCACTTTGTGTTAAATTTAACACAAATTCCGTGTTATACATTTATAAGACGTATTTGAAAATATTTCTTTTGGCGCATACCTAACTTTATCTTAACGGCACTCTATTCCAGTAAACGCTGCTGCTGACAGCAACGTTACAACAATGTCACAATCTCCCACTGACTGTTGTATTGCAGTGATGTATTGTTCTTACATTGTAGGAAATTATAACATTGATGTAATGTTACCACTATTAGTTTACTGAGCACATGGATGCGAATAATAGCATCACTTACCTCATCCTGATCACAGCGGATCCACGATGGCATCGTCGACGTGAAAATCCCGCGAAGATATACGACGGTGAGTCATCCTCCGATTGTCGTGAACGGTCCATGGAAGATCTGCTCAGGCCATCCTGCGCAAAAAAGGAAGGGCAAAGCTCATTATCGGGGCGAATGATATAGAGAGCGTAAGAAAAGGCGCCACGCAACAAATCACAGTGTCCCGTAAAGGCGAGGGGAAGCACGAGGGGGGTAAAGGCTGATCGCCTTAACTTTCGAAGGTTTAAGCTTCCCGTTCTTTTTCTCGGCCAAGCTTTAACGCGTCATCCGTCGCCGAGCGGGCGCTTATTAGATTCGCTTCCTCTTTTACGACACGCCTGGAAACGCTTAAAACGTCGACAAACTTATTTCGGCACTGAATCTGCGTGTTGGCAGATGTACATGCCGTATGTTGATAAATGACAACATTCGTTCTCCCTTAAAACAGCGATGGTTTTAATTATCAAATATTCGAAATTTAGCACGCGAGATAATAATTTTATTAGGATCAAAAATAAACAAATAAGTAAAAGTAGCAGACCAAAAGGCAAAGAAACTGATGTAATTGACTAACCCAAAAAGTAAGCAAACATCAAGTCAATTTGAAACATTGATTTTATAAACATTTAGACATTTTATAAATATTTCTTAATTGGTGATATAATAACACTGTGAAATATTCAAATCATAGCGTAGAAATATTATTTTTAATGTTTGGGTCGGATATTTTTAACAATGACGTTGTATACAACTATACGTTTGAAAATGTTGTTATAGAATAACGTCACTGGAATAACGTTGTGTTAATGATTTCTTGGAAGAACCACCAGTTAAATTAAATATTGGTCGTGATATAGTTTTCAGCTGCGAAATCGTTAATGAATGACATCCAAGTTAATTGTTCGTTTCGTACGATAACAAATTTATCGTTTGATCGGAAACTTGCTTGACGGCACAGTCTCTGGCAATTTCCGCGGAAACATTCGGATACTTCCGATTTGATCGTCATGGGACGATTACACTCACGAGATCGTGTTCGAGGAAAAGTCGGGTCAGATAAAAGTCGTAATTTACGGCGCCGATATATTAAGTCGCGGCGGGCATAAAGAAGCGTCTATGTCGGTTTTCCGGTCGCGAAAGAGCGCGCGCGTTCCGTTGTGTGAACAGCTGCGAAGAATGCGAGCGCGTGTGTCGTGCGCGAAGAAAAGCACGGCCCTACGATAAATTAGAGGAAAAATCTACGGTAAATTTGTCCGAGACCTCCTACATCGGCTTGCACTCGACGGTGTCTTCGACTCTTTGTTCCGCTTTTAAACGCGTGAACACGTAAGTGAAACGAGGGTTTATACGCGCGTTGTGCATCAAATTCGAGTACACGGAGAGAAATAATTTGCTGGCACAAAAAATGCGGCAAAATCTGTCAGTTACTCTGTGGACGGCAAAACGATTTGTCAATTATTCCTCTGAATCATTATATTGTAAGAACAAATGAGTAAAATGTGGGAAAACGATATTTCATTTCAAATTAGCGCGTCTTTTTTGGCAACAATACCGATTATGATCTAATTGATGTTAATGTCGACTAAATTTTCATCGTTGTTGCAGGGAATATGCAAAGATGCTACGACAGCAAAATTATTTTTTTCCGTGTAAAAAGCCCTCTCTCTTTCGGGCAAAAAATTAAAATGTTCACACTGAAGCATTTGTAACATCTTAGTATTATAATAGGCTTAAATTCATTCTTTTTAAAACACAGCACCCTTCTTTTCTCAATTTTGACATACCAAGCGGAATGCTTACAATGTCGGCATAATGCTCAGCATGACCTCCCGTTCACCTGTGCGGGAGTTATGACTTTTCAAAACACAAACGATATCTCTCTGCGCAGATAGATATCGGAAGCCAGCACACGGTCCTTCCCTTTCGCAACCTTACAATTCTCGCGTGGAACATGCCATGAGAAATAAGGTCTCCGACCGAGCTCAAAATGCGTGACAGGAAATGTCGCACCAAATACTGCGATATTCGCTCAATTTTGGAGCAAGGTATCCTCATTCACTCACTGTCGCGGCTGCTCGCCTAATCCCTGGTGAAAACAGCAGGTGGATTCCACGTGGCACACATGTCCCCTGCACCCCCGCGCACGTAAATAAGTTGTTTGGACACGACGAGGAAATGAAAAAAGAAAGAGATCGCACCACCGAGTGACGTGTTTGAAGGGAACGCGCGTGTGAGAAATCGCGACTTTTCGCGAACTTGACAGGAAGAACGGCCTGTGCGCGCACGAACGCTGCCGCGACAGGAACGATAGTGGCGAAAGTGGGAGACCCTCTGGGAAATATATAGGTCCGCGGGGTGGTGGTGGATCACAGGAGAGAAGGAGGGAGCAGAGGCGCCGCGCACCGCGTCGCGCATCGCTGGGACCGTCCCGCGGGATGCTCGGCAATAATCGGCGATTAACCCGCGAGTGTTCACCTCGCGAACACACTTGGAAATGTGTTTCGGCGGATCCGGCTGCGGTTTCTGCAATGAATTCGAAATCAATTTTGTCGAACGGATATATCAAGAGCTCCTTTATGTCGCGCGATATTATGCGAGCGATCGCTCGACAAAAAAAAACTGCGAAACGCGTGTACGAAAAGATATTTATTTAAAACGGCGCTCCTCTCTTTCGGGAACGCTGTTTTATATTTTGTGAATTTATACTGCACACACCGGGAAACAGATTTCTTATAACTTCTTTAATTGAAACAAATTTGTCCTTTGGAATAGGGCAAACACACAAATGTTTTTGATTCAATAAATGGGATTCTTTGGTTTTCAATCAATATCTTTACGTCAAATAACATATTTCTTTCGTATTTTCATCCAAACGTTATGTTACAAGCGATAAATTACTTGAAAGAAGTAACGTTACATGTTAGAAAAATATTAAGAAACTTTATTTTTGTTTCAGTAGAATAATATTTACGCGGAGGAAACAAGTTTTGTTACAATAGCAAATTGTTTGTTAATACAGTGGTAGCAAATGATTTGGAAAAAATAATTGTATAGTTGTTGTAGTAAAATATCGTTACGACGGCAATAAAATTTAGTTGGCATAATCAAATTATTTTGCTGTAGGTATATCCAGCAATAATGTTCTCAACAAATATTCACGCTATCCGAACAAACTTTTGTTGCTGTCACTATAACTCAACGAACAATTTGCTGTTTTAACAAAACTTGTTTTTTCCATGTAATAATATATAATGAAATAATTTTTTTATTGAAATGAAATATTATTTCCTCTAAATAATACTTTCTTTCTCTCCCAAATGACATGGTTTATTCTAATGAAACAACGACATTTTTATCCAAACAAAATAATAATTGATATTAAATTGTGTTACAAATTGTTGTATATTAAACAAACGCGAATGAAACAAACATGTATATTAAAGAAGATACCTTGTGCAGATATAATGCGGTTTTTCCCCTTTCTGTGAAGAGATGGAGACTACTCGAAACCTTTCACTGCCCGGTATATGCAAAGAATTTCTACACGAAGCAAAGGTGCGCGTTATCAGCCATTATCGTTCCCATTTCACCGATGAATCTCATCTAGATAATCGTAAGCATTGTTTAAAATAGCGTTATCCGCGTGCTAAATAGACCAACGGAAATCGTGCCCCTTTTCCTTTCTCGCGCCCTTTGCTGGTTCAACGAACTGTAATTGTGGACACGACCGTAAAATTCTCTACCCACGAGATTAGATTCGCGGTTTTCCCTTTATCATCCTGACGTCGAGAGGAAACCGTAACCTTTTCCTTTTCGTTTTTCCGCCCTTTTTCGCTTCCTCCGAGTCGCGAATAGCCCTTTTTACGGATCGCGCGTAAAATACCGTGACGAATCGCGACGGAGCCGAGAAGACTGCAAGTGTCTTATAGCGTGCGAGCTGTACGATACAATGTAAGGCAGAACCAATTACGTCGGGCGATTAAGTCCGGTAATTAATCCACTGGTGATCGATGTTCGCTATAATGGACGTGGCTTTTTTTCCAATGTCTTCAAACGTGATTTAAAAATTTTTTTACAGTAAGCAATAGAAAAAAATGAGCCGTGACCAACAGAAAATACGGAGGGAGAAGAATGCGGAAGGAGAAAGAAATAAAAAAAATATTGAAAATGCGCGTCCGATTATTATGATTTTTGCAATCATCGCGAATAATGAGCGAATTCAGCGTGATTACGCTCTCCAGCTTAAGAGCAACCGCTAAATAAATATGCGGTCCGCGATAATTCGAGGAACGCATTTATTTATTTTCTGTCTGGCTTAATGATCCGTCCGGCGCGCTTACACCCTCGAATCTTTTTTTAATTACTGCTTGACGAAGTGCAATTGAGCTTCCACAATTCTATATGGAGACCTCGCAACACGACATTACTTGTCGTGCAATTTTTCATAAAGACACTGAATGCGCGAGCAAAAATAAACAACGCGGAAAATATTAATCTTAAATCAATGATAGATATTCTCGTGTATAGGCGGGAATACTGTGATCTTCTTGGACAATTTTTAATCTTGATTGAATTTCTATGAAATTTTTTATTTCTATTCTTGCACTCAATTCAAAACTCTTCTAAGAATATTCTCGCTTACATACGAGAATGTCTATCATTGATTTACATACATTTACTATCTTTTTCCCGCGTACACAATATGTTAAAATATTGACACGCATATGATCATTTGTTAAATTAAAGTTGACAAATGCTTTATCTTAAAAATATTTTTCTTGTGAAATCAATCGCACGATCAAAAATTGAAACGCATATATGGGCGGATTGTAATCGTGAGTCGCGCTTTTCCATTTTCCGTTTTTACGAGACATCGTCGAATTTGCGCTATTATGCGGGCTCATCTTGTCGAACGATCAAGCGTCTCGAGCCTGCTAACAAAGAACCAGTCATGGCGATTACCTGTCGAATGCCATTGTAAAGTGCGACATCCATAACCGTTCTTCGTGGTGGTCGGGACCACGATAAAAGTTCAGTCACGCCGTGATTTATTAATTATAAAGCATTGTGATCCGCGAAGCCGTCGGCATAGTTGCGGTTTCACGGTGATAAAGCAACACACGGCGCTAAGGATTTCCACCTCGAAAATAGACTCCCGACTGATCGGCGATAAACGCCCCCGCAATTTATTTAACACGGCGACTCTCAGTCGGTGCGTCAATGCTCTCCTTGTCAACATTGTTAACAAAATCCAAATCTCCAATCTAATAATATATGAATAAAGCGATCATTGGAAATATTAGACGCAACTCTAGAAGGACGCAACTCTTTATGCGATTATAATGTTGAGAGGATCATCAATTCCAAAAGGTTAATTGAAAATGTTGTATAAAAAAATAATTGTTTGAAATAACAAGACACGTCACTCGGGGGGAAAAATCGCATTATTAAGATTATCATTATTTGAAGTATGACACTGTCAGGCTGATGGAAATAACTCAAGATGGAAATAACCAAGTTTGAAATTAAGATGACACTGTCAGGCTATAAAAGATTAGGTGACGAAATAAACAAGAAGAGTCCCACAGTGGCTTATTGCTTCGTGATTGCATATGTTGGCCCTTAACTGGCTGTATCACAGTCTTCTGACTAATCTCTTATCCCACCCTTCGTCAATGTATAACTCGCGAAAACAACACAGTTAGATTACGTTATTTACTACTTAAATTAACACGTTGCTCTCCCTTGATTATCGATCTTTATCGCAATAAGCAACGTATGTGCTGTCGTACATATTCCGATTAATTATTTCATCAGTCGGTGTAAAACCACTCTCTACTTCCGGGTTCCTATCTTAATACGACAAATGGTAAATTAATAATCGCCAGCTACGTTTATTTTTCGCAACTTGAAATAACTTATCGTATGTCCGAGGAAGAGCTTTTACTTTCGTCGAGCAATCACTCTCGATTTCCGTATCGACCGGCGTGTCTTGCCTTTCGCCATGCGGAAAATTAAAACCGTCGTGGAGTCGCCTCGTTTGAGCGAGCAAACAGTGAAACTTGGAGAAAAACTGACTTCTCGTGATTCCCATTAACCTCCTTGAGAGAAATCCACGATAGTTTGCCATGCCGGTGATATTTCAAACGGGTTTGAAATTATTATGATCTTTCGAAAGCGATACATATTGCGAGATTGCGCGTAATGATTCGGTGAAACGTCGAGCGAGGTCGGAACGCGTAGCCGATGATTAATTAATTACCGCGTTTTAACGCGATACAGTAATTTACACGCGAGTCATCGTAGTAATTAAATTGCCATTGACTGAATGAGAATTAAGTAAATTGCACGAAACGTTTAATTCATTGTCAAGTGTACGCAGAAATCCAACATTGTTAAACGAGCTTCGTTCCTTTCAAATAATGCGTGACAAATTATTTCAGTGGACAAACAAATGCGGTCGAACAGAATTTTTGACTATAAGAATCAAATTTGGTTGGGAACTTCTTTGTTTCCCCATACGCGTTTGGTTGCCGAGTAGATTTGCCGAGACTTCAACAAATAAAACTATGTAAAATCCATCTCTTTTTTGTTCAGACATTGCGCATTCAGTTACATCACATCTTCGTAAAGACGTCGTGCGATTAATTGATTAATCGCCGATTCTTAATCTTGTTAGCGATCTTCGAACGAGCCGCTAAAAAACCGTGATTTCGCGTATCTACGAGAGAAAAATTGGTGCGCTTGTTCCTCGGATCGATCCTTTCTTTTTTCGGCGATGCGCGCTTCGTCGAATTATACACCGTGACCTGTAATTTGGACACTATTTCACATGCCGTAAGCATGCAATCACGAAAAGGTGTTCCCTTTTGTAAGTGGTTCCACCTAGATGAAGAATTTATCGGCTAACAGCCCTTCCTCGAGATTATAATACACGTTGCACATGCGATCGCAGCGTCATAACGCACCGTTTTATCTTTTCGCCTTTTTACTTTAACGGATGGATCTTTTGGATTCCACGTTGAAGAGAACACTTTGTTAAGCGGATTGCTATTGGGACCATCGTTATTCATCAGTTACGATTATTTTCCGCGAATCCCCACGAAATTCAACGGGTAATAAAAACACACATATGTTTTATAAACTTGTAGAGAAAATATTGAAATCTTCAGGTCTAATTTATTGGAGATTACGAAGGAGAAAATTTCGCGCACGATTAGGAGGAGATCCCATCGACAGTTCTTTCTTACGAGAATATTTATTTGTCCATGAATATTTGTATGCTCT